TCACATTTCTACGCTGGGTTCGTTACGTTTCAATGTTCTCACCATTGTAATCGTTGATGTAAAGCTATTTTGCGAAAAGCGCCTTGTCACCAATAGAAGTAAGGCAGATCCGATAAGTACATGGTTAAAGACCTGGAAGAAAATTGTCACCATGAGCGAAATCCTCGACCAAACGCAGTGTTTTCAATGCACAGTATGCTAAGACGTATGCTACTAAGGTCGCCAAGTACTTCCATTGTGATTGACGCTTCAGCAGAGCGTTAAAGCTAACGTTTAAACCAACACATTTTAGCTCATAGTGCGCTTAGAAAGAAAACGACTAGAATATACACGCTTTACCTACACGACACAAGTACTCTAAATCTGTACCATCGTTTATAGTGTCATATTAATGCCTTTTGCTAACTTATTCCGCTGAAAAGATTTCAGTTGAAGTGAAACTAGTAGTGGGACTTCAGTTCAATCTCGGTTTCCTTGTTTCTAGCAACACAGGCGAACGATAAGAAGTAAGTGTGAGACGTTACGAGAGAGATATGACAAAGAAAACAAAACGAGACAACAAGCGGAAGTGAGGATGAGAGAAGTCGCTATGAGACGTGAGTACCCGATGTGTACACATTTGCTAACACCGATAGATATTGAAATATTCTCGAAATATTGATATATGAGGAAAATTAGCCAGATATGGTGCGAAGCGTTACTTGGAACAACTATCGCTATCATTTTTGAATCACTGATAATGGAAGGGAGTGTGTATAACGCAGTGGTGAGAGACGCCTTACCACACATATGTGGCCACTGGTTTGATCCCTTGCCCTAGGTTCATCAATCTTTCCATCCTTCCGAGGTGGGCATATAGCTACAAGATTTGTCTGGGAGAATAGCACCACTGACTTAACATATCGGTAGGCCACCACGAGTCAAACAATATATAGGCCAGATAGGTACTCAATCAACATCAACAATGCTAGATCAAATCGAGCGCGTGGCGCACAGGCAGAAGCTGATCAATGCCGAGCACCCTACAATGCTTCATTTTATCACTAATAATGTGCACTGATCACCATTTAACTCTAGATGACGCTTAAACTATCCTGAAAACCGATTTTCGTTGGACCTCCAAGAAAAACAACCCACAGTTTTCTATATGGTTGAATAAACACGAGGTTTCCCTAACTGTTTACCGTCTCATCATGGTTGTGAAGCGTTCCTGGGTGTCGGGCTGCAATGTAGGGCGGAGGATTCATCCTCCTAGCAGAACCTCTCGAACTGAGAAGTAGGCCGGCGTTTCTCTCAGGAACCTCAGCTAAGAGTAAACTAATACCAAGGTCGATCACCGTTATGGTACCAAACTAGTCGCATGGTGGCAAGCCTCCTTCTGATGCACATGGCGGCGACTTCCTATGGTGGTGACGACCTGGGACAACCTTTGGCTAGGCTGACGTCGAGACTCCATTGAACAACAACGGCTAAACCAGCAAAACTTCGAAAAAATAAAAATTGTGCTGGGGTCCGCACAACCAGCAAATTCGGACCAAGTAACGAAGTAAGTAAGTAACACGAGGTTGGTGTAAACTTTTATTCGGCTGATATTTTGGAGTCTTCACCTTCCTCTGAGCGGCGTTGAACCGACTCGAGTGCACGGCCGGTCGTTGTCGCGTGGAGCCGAATCCAGTGGAGGGAACATCATTCGAACGTGAAACCTCACAGAGTATTGCGCCTTCATGCAAGACGTACGTAAGCCATCCAATATGATCTGCTTTTTAGAGTGGAAAACGACCTGTAGCACACGGCACTTCATTTGTTGGTACTTATCAAAGGGTCAGAAAAGCCAGCGGAATAAGTTTTTATATTAACCTCCTGTCATTCAGCTGTAGAAAATAGAAATGTAGAAAAATTTCTGTTCATGTAGAAGACGGCTGGCAATGAAAATGTCCATCCACCCTAATCGTATATCAGATCTGGCCAGTAGGATACGCGTTCTTAAGCTACACGACCGGTGTGCTACTTTGCCTATTAGGAGCTTTAATTTTACTCCTCTTATTAAAAGCGTAACCATGCACAGCTCGACTAGCACTGTCATCGGATAGATTTATTTTTAGTAGGCCTTGCTTTCATTCTCTCTTGAGAAGGCTTCGCTTCTTTTTTTTTGATCGGGATGGTAATGTCGAATTGTTTTCATGTGGTCTTTGCGAATGAGTGGGCGGTTCGCCACCTTTGGAATGGATTTGTTCCAGCGCGCCAGCGATTTTAGACATTTGTTGACTCTAGTAACAACTCTCAGCCATCGGTAGATTTAGTAGAATACAACAGCACATTCGGCGTGCCTTTATTTGGTAGAGCTTCGCGTCAGCCTCCATAGTTTTCATCCTCTCATAGAACTTGCTAGTGGAAAATTTGTAAATCCAAAGAATAAAGCAAAAACTATAATCAATCAATATCTGGAAAGACCGACTTTCTATAAACCTCGGCATAGGTGGTTGATATATACATTTATATGGCTTATAAACTGATCTTCTTAAGCTGACGCGAGGTTGGAACAGGTTTTCGTTGCCATTGTCGTTGTTTTTGATGTTGCTGGTCGATGGCTGACGTTTCGGCGACTTCGCCTTCCTCGGAGCCTGGACGTATTTTGGACGTCAGCCTCCATAGTTTTCATCCTCTCATTAGAACATTAGAATATTTTTATTATTTGGTGGAAAAAAGGTTAAAGTACTAATAAAGATCAAACTTTCAAATAGATGCCATATTGAATAGAAAGGTCACTCACCGTGATGTTACGTGCGGGACTGGCCCACACGTAGTTCACATGGAGTCGCGAGCAAGACACGCCCCGAGGTCAAAATATCATTTTGAAATAGGGCGCCAGGTCACGTGTGATAGTGAGGCATTCGTCTTTCCGGTTCATCTTTGGATTTTTTAAATTTATCCAAAACGCCTCAAGAGTTTTGCGCGTTGATGTTTTTGATTCCTGCGCTAGGATCCGCACATTCACTTCAAAATCATCGCCGTTGTGCTTTTGTGCCCTATGCGTACCTAGAGGGGTGTTTAAACGGATTTTAGCTTTTCCATCTAGATGTTCTTTTATGCGGACACGAAGTGGTCTACCCGTTTCTCCAATATATTCCTCGCCGCATTCGTTACATGAGATCAACTATATTATACCTAAACTCATGCAATCCCCGTCTCTCCCGTTAGGACAGATCATACAGTTTTCTAAGCTCCACAAACGATCATAGAGAAGGTTTTGAACTAACTGAAGGCGTAGGGTATTGGGTGGGATATCAATAATCGTTACATATTTGTCAAGACCACTTTTTCTTAAGCATCTCCTAATGGCGTAACTTACTTCATTTGATATGATGGGTAGCTTAAAAGAGATCCTACTTACTTCCGAAACATCATTTTGGGAAACTACCTAACGTTTTTGTATAACCCGAGTGGCGTCTACTTCGTAGCCATTGGAAATGGCTATTTTTCGTGCCAGGTTTAGCAACTCCTTCCTCTCATCTTCTGTACACACATTTTTAGTCGCCATTAGGAGGTGCTTAAGAAAAAGTGGTCTTGAAAATTATGTTACGATTGTTGACATCCCACCCAATACCCTACGCAGTCAGTTAGTTTAAAACCTTCTCTATGATCGTTTGTGCTGCTTAGAAAACTGTATGATCTGTTCTAACGAGAGAGACGGGGATCGCATGAGTTTAGGTATAATATACTTAGTCTCATGTAAGGAATGCGGCGAGGAATCTATCGGGGAAACGGGTAGACCATTTTCTGTCCGCATAAGAGCCGCATAAAAGAACATCTAGATGGAAAAGCTAAAATCCGTCTAAACACCCCTCTAGGTACGCATAGGGCACAAAAGCACAACGGCGATGATTTTGAAGTCAATGTGCGGATCCCAGCGCAGGAATCAGAAACATCAACGCGCAAAGCTCTTGAGGCGTTTTGGGTAAAATTCAAAAATCCAAAGATGAACCGGAAAGACGAATGCCTCACTATCACGCGTGACCTGCCGCTCTATTTCAAAATGATATTTTGACCTCGGGGCGTGTCTTGCTCGCGACTCCACGTGAACTACGTGTGGGCCAGTCCCGCACGTAACATCACGGTGAGTGACCTTTCTATTCAATATGGCATCTATTTGAAAGTTTGATCTTCATTAGTACTTTAACCTTTTTTTCCACCAAATAATGAAAATATTCTAATGTAAAATACGTCCAGGCTCCGAGAAAGGCGAAGTCGCCGAAACGTCAGCCATCGATTAATAACATCAAAAACAACTACAACGGCAACGAAAACCTGTTCCAACCTCGCGTCAGCTTAAGAAGATCAGTTTATAAGATCACATAAATAAATATATCAACTATCTATGCCGAGGTTTATAGAAAGTCGGTCTTTCGAGTTATTAATTGTCCAACCTTTTCCACAGTGTTCCCTCAAACAGTGAACCGCTTTCTCATGATTCCAGGTAGAATACTAGTTGACCATAGCGTTTGTTGTAGCACATTTGTTGGAGAGCCGTGTTCGAAGCACCTTTCGTTAGCTCAAATGTGATATATGACGGGACAGTCATGGACCATCACGGTTCAAATCAATAAATAGTCTTTCATACGACTTGCAACAAAAGGTTCGTAAGTGTCTTAGCAGATCGTTTGGGAAGCCAAGCAGTTCTACTCCGCGTGGTCACCGAAGTACACGAAGATGCGGTCATTAGACTGGCTAAATCGGTGCATGGATTTCCAGCACATAAAGTTCCTTTTTAGCTCCATTACTCACCTATTCATAGCTGAGAAAGGTTAATCGCGAGTTCAAATCCGGCCTTAGGTCTTAGTTTTGCAAATAGGTCAGTTTAACTGCGGTTGTATTTCACATAACACCCTACAACGGAACAATAATAGGCAGTAAAAAAGCTGTTCATTCTTATACCATTACTTTTAAAAAGTTTTCGTACCTTCTCGACAAGATAACATCGATGTTTTATCATAATTTTCTTCATGATTCCTTGTTTCAAGTCTTTTTCTTCCAAAAACAGTGCATACGATAAAATCACGCTTGCAATAAAGACTTTACGCACGAAATTTCTTATTCAGCTCTACACGCACACCACTATCATCAAAATGAACGACCTCGACGAGACGAACGTTCGAAGAGTCACAATCGAGTTAGTCCGACTTCTTTACGATCCTCTTGAAACGATGGTGGTGTCAGTTTTACTGTTTTCCAAGTCATTTATTTCTGGTCTCAACTCCTTGAACTTCCTGATTCCCTCAAGGTTGTAATAACCAGTTTTGCCCTCAAATAAAAACGTGAAAAAATAAAACGGAGAGACGCTGAAATTTATGTCTAGTGAGTTTATTAACTTTTCATTTGCCTCTATTTAAATATGAAAATTGATTCATGCAGTGCGACTAAACCCTTAACGAATCTTTAACAAATATTTGAACCAGATTTTCATTAAAATTTGAAAAGAGTGCGGGCTCTTTATCAATTATTAAGTAAAGTAACCTTTCGAAAGTCGTCCACCTTGTTTCTACATTAGGAAAACTCTGCTATCAGGTGTGTTCGCCAAATAACGGAAAAGGTGCTCCACTAATACCTGTGAATTTCGGAAATAGTGCTGATCAGCTGAACTCATGTCAGCCTCGCACTTCGGAAGATAAGAGGTAAACAAGTTTCTTCCCATTCATAAAAGGCTTCAAGTGTGAAGAGCTTATGCAAACGTTCTATTGAATCAGGAACTTGGTTTGGTTTTTCAACCAGCAAGTTGTACATAAGGGTAAGGCCGAGTCGGATCTCGGTGAAAGGGATCTGAAAGAGGCCTGAGCAGAAGTAGATGCAAATCTCAGGACGATTTAACTGGGTGGGGTATTAGTTAAGCAATGTAGCATAACAATAAAGTAGTTGTAGAAAAAACAGGGTTCTTGGTTATTCTCAAACCCCTCCTTTATCTACTGGCGTTCCAATATCCGCCTCAGGAGCTTTCATGAATTCATCTAATCCTGATAAGCGAACTTGGTCCACAAGATGTGTGCACTTCATCTCCAAGATTATAAAGGATAAATAATAAAGCTCTCAGTGTTGACCAATCCCTGAGAAATACGTCATGCATTCGACTTCACCTGGCCTTTACAATGACTCGTGGTGGCGTCCAAGAGTACTAAAATTAAGGCTTCATATGTGTGTGTCAATGTATGTATATAGACACGTGAATGTGTAAGTGTTTGTACATACATGTGTGTGTTTCTACATGCAAGTGCATGTGGATATACATATATACGAATATATATATATCAGCTGTATCACCTGTCGTTCCGATGATCGTCGTGTGACTCGCGTAGGTGCCAGCAAATCTTCCATTTCTCTCTGTTGCATGCAAGAGTAGTCCAGTGGGTTGTGCTCGCTCTAAAAACTCGTTGATCATCATACCCTTCTTCTAGGCCTTTCGTGAAGAAATCTGACCATCGGGTGGTCTTCCTGTAGTAAGTTTGACATCTCGATGAATCCAGTCACTAACGGCTTTTGTCCATTGGTTGTCGCTCATACGCATTTTGTGCCTGACCTACCTCTTCTTTGACAGTTTGCCCTACAGAACGGTGTCTTTGATTATTGATCGTTGAAGCAGATCAAAGCATCGGATCTCCTCCATTAATTATGCGACACAGGATATTCCTAGCATCGTCCTTTCAACTGCGCGTTCAATAACGCTGACTGGTCTTTCAACCCGCTTACTCATCGACCAGGTCTCTGACGCATAGGTTAAAAGATGAAGCACCGTTGGGTCGAAAAAAGTGGCACGGCTTCAGGCTTTCTATGTTTCCTTTACGATATCGCTAATGCTCTTGAAAGCTCCTCAAGCTACATGTTTGCATGACTTTCTGGAGGGTGGTGGTAAATAATTTCGGCGAGATGGTATCGCCTTGCTTAACCCCTCTTCCGACGTCTACGTTAATATCGCTGTAGAATAGTAATATTTTGGTTATGAAATTTACATGCAGGCTCACGAAAACTCTCCATATAGTGGGCAAGGACTCACTGATTGTCCAGGTCTTCCGTGACTGTTTCTGTCTCACATGGATCGAAACCCTTCTTCAAATCGATGAAAGTGAAATAGAGCGGTGTTTTGCACTCTTTCGATACTTCAATGAATCTTGTTATCGTGTGGATGTGGTCTACCGTGCTGAATCCTTTTCGAAACCCTATGCTTACTCAGCTGTCCATCGTCTCCTGTCCTCTCAATCCTGTTTACGACGACTCGAGTGAAAATTTTATAGACTTCAGACAGCAAGCAAGATTGAGCGATAGTTGACTATATCGTGTAGATCACCTTTCTTGAACAATAACACGGTCTTGCTGGTCTTCCACTGAGTAAGGACCTTGCATTCAGACGGGTAACGTGTGAAGAACCGAGCCAGTGTGTTTACGAGGACTGGCGGAAGGTTCTTCAGATGTTCAGATTTTATTCTGTGCAGACCTGGTGCTCTTCGATCTTTCACCGACGAAATAGTATGTCGGATATCGGAAGGGAGAAACGATGGTATCACATGTACTATTGAAGACGTTTGACAGTAACCAAGAATGATTTTCTTCATAGCATTTCTTGACGCTATAACTGTTGCACGTGGGCGTCGAAGTGCAATTGTCTTGGTTTCGTAATTGGCGAAACTTTGGTGGGGTCTGTGAATGCTTTCCCCGGCTTCTGCATCTTCGACTATAGCTGCTACTCTTCTCTCTTTAAGGTCTTCTTTTATCGCCTGTTTGCATTGTTTTGCATGTTCGGAAATGATGGCAGTTGCCTTTAGCTCGTGCGCTTCCACGCTGGCGTATCAGCTCGAACGTTTTGGAGACAGACGTCTCTTGGTGGCTTTCGAACTATCAGTTTTCGCAGTGCTAACGTGAAGATTTTGAATGAGCCGACCATATTCTTCGTCGATGTTATCGAAAGTGGCGTTTTTCTAACAAACGGCTAATGATTTAAATAAATCCAAGTTTGCGGTGGTTTTGGGATCTCGTTTCTTGAATTTAGAGGCTTTTTGCACGAAGAAGATGTAGGTCTTATCCTGTGTAGAATTTTTAGACAACAGTGACATAGATTAGTCAAAACCTTTGAGTTACTGTGATATGGTCAATTTCGTTGTGGTACTCTCCATTGACATACTCCCACGTCCATCGTTGAGGGTCGGGCTTCTGGAATAGCGAGTTACCATGAATGGTACAGGTCGTCATAACAAACTCAGACAGCCGCTCACCCTGCTCGCTCCATTCTAATCCGTGGGTCCCAGTGTGACGTTCTTCTTGGTTTAATCCTAGCGTTAAAATCTTCAATGATGACCTTGAAGAATGCATGGTCTTCTTCGTGTAAATTTTCCAACTTCATATAGAACGCTTCGACTTCTTCCTCGTCAAGGATCGATGCCGACGCGTAAAGAAGGATGGTTCTCTAAGCTGGTATTGATCTACATCTCTTCAATTTTAAGCGTTCAGTTCGGGTTGCTAGTTGTTCGAATGAATATGTGTTCATGGATAAACTTGTGTTGACGAGAATGTCGCCGAATTCTCTAATGTTGCATGTTCTGAGGAACAGTTCTCCTCTAATGTCATAGACGGCGTTGAGCGGGTGGCACATTCTCCTCTCGGCCAGGGCGATGACGTCGTACCTTACATTCTTGCTTGTATGATGAAGTCTTCTATCGAGAACTCAGATACACGGGTGCGTGCATTGTTGATATAGATCGTCACTTTAGTCCTTTGCGATTGAGTTTAGAATGGCTCTGAGATTTTAGAAACCTCTCAATACTCGCCTTTCGTAACGCTGCCGAATCGGGAGCTCATTCGGGGTCAGGGAAATGCGGCCCGTTCCTTTTACCGTGTCTAGCATTTTGATACCCATGTATAGCTTGCTGGGCTCTGAACGCGGGAGCTGGGTATATTCATGGGTTACCGGTCTCTCCCAGGGTGGAAATGGAGCTTATTTGTTGGAGGCGACTCTTAACCGCCTTAGAAATACTTTCCTGTCACTTGATTGCAGGCTTTTGGCCGAGCTTACTCGCAGAATACAATTCGCACAAACGAAAACACACCCACGCACTTATGCACGAATGAACCCTCGCGAATACAGAAAGCATGTGCGAAGTCTGCGCAGAAGAAACAGGGAGTCCGTCCACTGAATCCATTTGCATCTCAAGGAAGCAGAATTCGCTTTTGGTCAGCGATTAATCTTGTATACGCCACTTGGGGACGCGCCACATAGCCTCTCGACTAATCGGCTCGAGAACCCTCATATGAGGAGTATCTCATTAACTTATCAACTTTTCGGTCAATTGTTAAAACTAGAAAACGAGATCAAACATGTTGCTTTACTGTCCCGTTGTCTAAATTTTAGCTCGGTTTGAAAAGTGATATAGTGTTTCGTATGCCCTTCAAAGAAACTATTTGCACGTCCACTCTAAGCTGAAGAACAGAAACCCACAAGAACATTCTGACCTCTTATAACGTCCGAAACACTTTAATTAATCGAATTTTAGGGTCTCACCGAAAAACGACGTGAAGCCCAATGGAAACAATTTGCCTGATACTCGCGAAATTGAAACGGTGCAACAGGCAAAGCCAGCGCAATATCCAACAGCCAAAGCGGTGGCGACAGGTGGAGCAACGACTGATTATTTATCCACGAACACCGTCAAACCTTTAGTGAAATCGGAAAGTACCGCCAGCGATGCGCCTTTTGCGGTCTCTACTACACCGATCACAGAATCCACGGTACGCCGGCTTTTCACGCTCGCACCACATCTACCAACTATTGTTTCGAACTCTTCGATGTCGATTTCGTATTTACGAACACGTCCAGATTGGAGTGAAAATGGAATCGCACGCTATTGCTACAACGTCGCATGCGATATTGACGGGTGGCTGGAAAGGAGTGGAGATGCGCCCTGTCTATCCCGGCATAATGCTGCTCAATGCGGACAACACGAAGCGAGGTCGATGCCCAACTGGTGAGTGATCTTAATCTTTGGTTAACAAATGACTTTAGTTTGGTTTCTCCTCAAAGTTGATGTGATAAAATGTTGAAATTGAAATTCGTCAGAAATTACGTGGAGAATATGAAGGAATAAAATTGAAGACTGGGTAAAATTAAACTGATCTAGACAGAAAAAACCTAACTTCATAACCCTGTGTATCATTCTGTTAGTCAACCATTAAGTCCAAGGGCACTAGCACACGAGAGCACGACGGCTTTGGTATGTGACTCGGCGTTTCTACGGTTCCCGGCCACTTGGTAGACATAGATGGCTAGCAAAGTTCTGTTGTTATATAGATCTACACTTAGCTAGACGTCTGGATGGAAATGTCAAAGATATCGGCTTGGATTATCCAGCTGTGAGAACAGACTTCTGGCACTGTGTAGCAATTTTACACCCACATCTCCTAATAGCCATAATGGGCCAGTAAACAAGTATCGAAATGTTGTGTGATTCAAAAGAAGAAAAGTGGCACCGAAGCTTGAAACAATCTGCTTCCGCCGAACCTTATATATATATACGTGTACATACATATATATGCATGTACACATACATATATACATATATATATGGTAAAATTTGAAAAATATTGAGAAGTTTACTTAACGTACCGCAAGAAAATGTGCGAGAACATTCTCTCAAATGCTGTAGGTGAAGTTTTTCCAGCCTCAGAAACTACTGATTCTCCATAACATTAGTTGCAGATCGAGAATTATTGATATCAACCAGTGATGCACAGAACTCCTCTGGAATCCGATCATCTAGTGATTTGAGGAAAGTCGAACTTCCTTCTTCGAGCAGTCATGCTTTAGAGTCTCTGGTTAGGAACATTTCGTCAAGTCAGTCACTGATTAAGGTTAGCTGACTGCAGTTGCCTTAGAAACACAAGCTATTGATAAAATAGAGAATGTACTGCGGAATTGAGTGTTTGTGACATCGTTGACTGTAGTGGTAGAAAAAAGTTCATGAAGAAATGACATCAGTGACCTCGTGTCGCTTCTCTTAATGAGTCGCTCGGTGATTATACTTTGCACTCATCTCCTTTGTTTTATTCATTTTTTTTCCTGTCGCTTATAGAACAGGATAATAGTCGAGAACGTATGAAGTCACATCAAACCAGGAACCAAAGAGCATGACCCATTCATTCAGAGACCATGGTATGCACTTAATATAGTCGAATACAATGAAGCACTAACACTTGGGCATTCCCTATTCCACTGTGGCCGCTAAACAGTTGTGCTTGGCAAGTAACATTGTGACACATACACATACACATACACATACACATACACATACACATTCACATGCACATACATAGACACAGACACACACACAACACACACACACACTGTGATTATAGTACTCACAGACTCTCAGGCAGAACGGTAGTTTTGTGTACCGATGAAGCTACTCGTAATAAACAATACATACTCTACATATTCTTCAATTTAACCGAAAGATTTCTCACGTATTTTTCCACCCATTTTCTCAGATTGATCTTAAAAAGTCGAAAGAGAAAGAGATTAAACACCGAATGAAGACGTTGAGGGAGTCAACGGATGAGAAGTTAGTTTTTGCTGTCTTTTAGTTGAGACGATAACATCATTTCCTGCAACTTTATTGCGATACCTAAAAGAGGCGTATTTTCTGATTAACAGTGGAAGAAAATGTGAATATTCTGCTTTTAGAGCAGTTCCGGTCTATTTAGTCCTTTGAGAGAATGGTTTCAGAAGACGAAATGACGTCGGTACGCAGACTCCTAAGAAAATGTCAAGAAAAGTCAGCGAATTGACGAAGCAACCACAAGAACCATGTGAAAGTGGGTTTTCCTTGTAACTGTAGGTGCCTCCTATTTACTCTAGAAAATTTCAAACAGATTTCACTAATCGATTTAAAAGCAATGAAAATTAGAAAATGTGCCTGCTATCCCACCTTACTCCAGAGGAGTACAGTTCAAGTTCAGTCGACTAACGACATGTGTCTAAACATAACCTGCCGCTCTAACATAGCGCTGAAAAAGCACGATCAGTCAGAGAGATCGTGCTTACTTATATGATATTGTTGAAAGAGGAACTACCCACTTAGTAAGAAATATGGTGAACAAACTATGTAGAGCACGAAATAAGTGACGGCTACGGCTTTTCAAATGTTGTTTATCATACAAGTCCACACTTATTATCTAGGGAAACTCTTTGAGCCAATTGTAAGTAGTACTGGAAATCTCATTTAAAATTCTCAACGCTTCTAACTTTTGTCGATATAGAGGTTGTGAACTTTATTTCTACAGGAGTGGTGCTGACGTCAACACCACCTGCTAAACAGTTCTTTCCTTTTTGGAATTGCAAAAGACATCAAACGTCGCTAGTTGAGCAGGTAAGCACTGCATCGTGATGCATCTTGGCCGAAGAATTAATATGTTTTTTGATGAAGCGATAAATCTGAGTAGGACATATCCCAGATTCCCAGTGCAAACTTTAGCACCTCTCACCAAGGTAACTGGGCCATCATATCTATTATGGCCACTTCAATCATTGAGCTACATAGTCGAATACAAGTAAAGTCTCCTCCATTCGTCACTTATCACTTCCCAGAGATTCTGTTCACCTTTAGCAGAAACATGGATTCACGCAGTGAAACGAGTCAACAACTGATGAAGAAGGAGAGTGCTGAAATAGACTTCAAAGGAATATAAATATCTAGAAGAAAAGTCCCGATGACTGAAGCAACTTCTGGGAAAGAGGGTAGTAACTGATAGGCTCGAGGCGGAACACATTCATTACGGATGATAGTATAGCAACGAAATGAAAGGATTTCTGAAAAGGTCCAAGTTCAATAAGATCAGATGAAAATGCGAATGCTCTACATGGATTAAATGAAGATCTCTAATTATTGCAGATCATATCTCCATCATCCGGCAAAGCACGTGGCACTAAAGTGTTGTCATCAGAGAAGAATATATGGAGTCAAAGCAGTATTCCGTTGGCTGAAAAGTACAGAGTTTCCCTCTTTTAAAAATATCGTTACAAACGATCTATGGGACCTAAAATCTATGCAAGGCCACCTTTTTCGCTCTACTGAAGAACGAATCTGACAGTTAAGGATTGAGTTGAGAGAATATATAGCAAATCATATTGTTGATCTTTACACGTTTAGTTACAGACGCGTATAGTTCATAGGCGTGTGTAGCACAGTGGTTAGAGGAGCCCTGAAATATATATGGAGCCGATCCCCGCGCCCCAGGCCCACAAAGCCTTCCATACCCCCGGGTTCGGCAAATTAGTGCCAGACTTGTCTGGGAGGATAGCAGCACTGGCTCAGCATATCGCTAGGCTATCGCGAGTCGTTGTAAAGGTCAGATATGCATTCAATCACCTCCAACGATGTTTAATGAAGTTGAATGCATGGCGCATCCCTCAGGGAGTGATCAACGCTGACAGCTGCAGAGGTTTACCCTTTAGTTCTAGAACTGACTACCGATCAAGAGAAAAAGCTGTTTCCACTACTAGTTTGCAAATAGAAAGCCTAATCGATAAGTGTAGAATGTTTCCATTTCGCCATAAGTGCTATACAGAGCATGCTTATGTTTACTTCACTTCGATACAGGTTACTGAATATATGGAATTCAGCGCCTCATCATGTCCGGAAGCTATCGGTGTGGATCAGTCGCTAATGATGCCACTACCAGGAGCTGACGTGTATATGATGCGGAAGCAGATGGAACGGATGAAGTACGCACAAGCAAGGGCAAGAACAATGGTGAGATCGAGACGAGAAATCAGCTTTCGCCTCTGTCGGCCTGCCTTACCCGAACCGAATCGGGGATTGTATGGTTAACCGGATTTCTTTCCATTGGAATTTGGGGAATTTTCAGTTTTTTGGATTTTCGAAAAAAGCTTTCATTTAAAAGCTACGTAAGATGAAGGGAAAGTTCAGATTATGAGGAAAGGCAAAGGAAAGCTGTAGAGCTGCACTTGAAACAAAACTACAGTGACGAATAGTGCAGGATATAACCACAACCTAGGGCCAATGATGGTAAAATATTCGCGAATTCACTACTGAATCGGCTATTTTTGGCCAGTGATATTTAGATACTATAAGAATGAAGTTTAAAGCGCAACAAGAGTCTCTGGTTCTTGTGACTTCATGGCAGGAACTGTGGGGTACAGCTTGATTCCTAATCACTTCTTTTCTTTCGAAACAGTTGTCTATAGTAGTAGACCGTTTCTTTTGTATATGAATAGCCTTCAGCTTATTCTAGCCTTTATGTGGTACCCATTGTTTTCTATTGGGAGGGTAATATGTGAATTACAAAAATATTGTGTTGCACATACTCTTAATTTTTTCGTCACTTCTCCTGAAGTGGTTTCCAGAGACGAGCACAGATAAAATGAACGTGAAACATGCCAAGCCATATTGCGGGTGGTTACCTTTGGAAGCGCTGGCTAATTTACCCATCGACGACTCAATTCAGATGTTTCCCGTGTAATAGCTAAAATTATATTTGTCAAAAGTTAGAACTACGAATGTTGTTGAATAAGTTCATCGCAGTTATGAAAGCACAGTGCGCAATAAGGGTGTTTCCAAAATGACGTTTTCTTTCGAGTCTTCCTCATTTTCTACCCAAGCGAGGAAGTAGAAGGGGGGGGGGGGGATAAAAAAATAACTATAAGGGAGAGTTTGAGCCTGTGATCAAGAGTGATATCTGTGGACAAATAAACAACAAACTCAACACAACCGTCTTTCATTGATCTAGTTGAGATTGCTTGATAAAAAGTCTAGATTCAAAGTGGATCTGATGGTGTATGGCAATAGCTGAACAATCATTTCCCAACGTTCTAGTTCTTGGTGTAAGAAGCTCTCCACTTTGACGTCTTTTCCATCCTGCTTTAGAATACCACGGACGTCGCACCGACTCGCCAGTCACCACTGGGTCTATCACCGTGGCAAGTTTCCGAAATCCTTGTTTTTTCACAATTGATTTTGAAACGAATCTCTATCCGTTCTTTTATTCAAGAACTTGGTCCATTCATTATATGATTTTTACTTTGTATTGCACAAAAAACATGCTAATATTCTTAAAATGGTTAATTCAACGTTTTCAGTAACGACGCTTCTAATCAGCAGCCAGGAAAGGATTGTGGACGTCTCCCGTACCAAAACGTAATTAATTTATGAGGTGAGAGCTTATAAAACTAAAGCAGTCCAGATTGCTTTTGTTCTTTCCCCCACTTTTTCTATCTGTTTGTGTTTCCGTTTATTTCCTTCTCTCTCCTTCTCTATTTCTCTAGCACCATCCTCTATTCTCCTCATATATATCAGTAATGGAAGTAGTTTTCAGATTTCTTCATGAAATCTTGAAAGGCTGAATGTGCCGACGGTGTTTAATGTCTCGGAAACATAACAACAGCTTTCAAGCGATAATCCATCAATACGTAGTAACCGTCAGAAATCCAAAAAACGCTTCTCAAATCGTTTGGAGTCCTGTAGCACTTCTTCGTTCTATTCTTATTCGTTAGTACTAAATACGAATTTTTATAATATTAATTTGTGTGGTTGTTTTAATATTAAACATGTGCGATGGAAGAACTATGAAAAGCTTTATTTTGTACTGTGGCAGTGAAAACTAAAATTTCTAACCAATGCGTATTCTTTCTTTGACGAGCTTACACGAGGCTGATAAATATATTTATTTCCGACTAACATTCGGCGTCTTCGTCTTCATCACAGCGGGTGATCCGAGTCGATGGTCCACGCTTGTTATTTGTCTCGATGTGGCAACTTCGCCTTCGTGTCGAGTCAGGTCTTCTTCATTGTGCTCTCTCCTCGAATGAGGCAACCATTATATCCGCCATCAGCATCCAGTTCTAGAAGAGACCAGTGTAATTCAGAACAAGCCTGCTATTCCTCATTCCAATCGCGACAGATTCACTTTGACCCTCTGCGAACTGCTGTAGTACTCCTTTTTTCTTTCTGGAAAAATTGAAGCACCTTCAAACCAATGCTGCTCCTTCAGACAACGATTTTCGTCAGAGTGATTCTTGAATTCACCATAACAAATGCATCGGGAATTCGATTTTGTATCCAAAATGACAATAAATTAAAAAAACGGATAAAAAAGGACGCGTGTGGGTCGTAGGAGGCGCCACTGCGACACACACGTGGAATCGATCCCTCCGTGGTTCACCAAGCTTTCCATCCCTCTGGAGACGGCAAATTGGTACTAGACTTGTCTGGAACGATAGCAGCACTGGCTCGATACATTGGTAGGCCACCGCGAGTCATGTAAAGGCCAGATATGCATTTAATCACCTTCAACGATACTTAATGAAGTCGAATGCATGGCTCATCCCTCAGGGGTTGATCAACCCCGAGAGCTTTATCCTTTACGAGCTTTATCGAATGCGACGACATCGGCATAGTTTTAAAAAATTCTTCTCTTATTGCATTTTTTGGTATTTTTGCAATAGCAGTGGTTTTTTGCATGACACTATGTATAGATCACCGCCGTTCGGCTGCGACGCCGTTTTTTATTTCAAGCTGTATGACTCATATATGAATCACATTTCACGAGGTGCACAACTCATGTTGTCGAACACTCAGTCTTTATATCACACAGCATGGGTATTCCGCTTTGTTGTATTTCTGCATCGGAATTTAAATTCTTCTTAGGTTCTTTATAGGTTTTTTTAAACACATCCACTGCTTTCTATACGGCCATTCTATTGTTTTTCTACGTATTTTCCTACACTGTTTTGCATACAACTGCATCTATCCAGGTAGTAAAGCAACGGAGTTGTCATTGAAATTCAATTCAAAATCCACCTCACCGCCTATTCTTTTCATGGCAGGGTATGATGTAAAATGTAATCGCAATCATGTTAAGACATTTGCAAAACTCCAGACCGCAGGACTCCTGAGATCCATTCTGCTGGCTGGTGGTTGATAATAGCAACTATAGAAAGGCTGAGAGAAAGGTGAAACGAAGGACCTGCATGGTGTGGTGGTGAACGCCTTAGCCCTCGGAAAGGGTAGCGTGTTCGATCCTCGCCGCAGGTGCCCACTGTCCGGAGTTTAGTAAATATTTAGTATCGTTGCGGTTATCTTATTACAAATACCAATACCGAAGTAGTCACAACCACGTATTCTGTTTAAATTAAGAAATGGCAAATTCTACACAACAAGGACATCCAAATCGAATTTGCCATCGTTATTCACCACAACACTTAGCGGCTCTCGTGAAGGTAAGCATGCGCCAACTGCACTTGGATGCGTACCAGCTGTATTCTTCAGATACCGAACCTCTAAACAACTACTGTGCTCTATAGACACAACAAAACTATCACCGGAAAGAAACTTCAGCAAGAATAAAAGTCCATTTTGATGTTGGAAACGATGTCGAAGATTTCTTCACCTTACGCGAGTTCATGATCTCAGGCATGCGGAAACTTACAGTGTAGGGAAAGTACAATAGACATTAGTAAATGTGAGGTTCCAGGTTGAATTCTCAAACAAGTTGAAATATCAGATTTTGATGACTACGTTATTTCAGCTGAAGACTCAGTGCCAGCGCGTTATTGAATATGACGCAGAGAGATTAAAGTAATATACAAACCAAGGTTAATCATTCCTGTGAGTGTAAAGCAAAAGTCGCTGCTAAAATTCTCATGACTGCCTGTCAGGTAGCTAAAATAGTCGGCCTTTTCGTGGACTACTAATCAATAATAGTACTGCAAATAAGAACGCTGATCGTTAACTCTGCTTAATTTTGCTGCGTTCTATTCCACTGAATTCGATTTTGATAACCACCAAACAGCAGAAAATGCCAATTCGAGAATAGACGTTCGACGCAGGTCAGTGCAATGATGAAGATGCCTAATGCAGTATCCCAGTGCCAAGGAAGTGCATGCTAAACCTAGTTCAGAAATTCGATAAACCACGCTAGTCAAATTTTTATACCTTCGAGTTTTTCAATACATCATCACAGGGCCTTCCTGACCGCTTGATGAGAGTTCACTCTTAATCGCAGCACTCCAAAGAACCAGAATTCTATCGTGGTATCATAGGAAGACTGTTTGCATATACCAAGTGTTTTCATTTCAATTAAGAAAGTTCACTTTGAACTGGGATATACCAGTTTTACGCTGAACGCCAGCACTATTTTCGGCAGCATATGCATAGAAATCATTGCACATTCGGAGGCTAGGTATGCCCTGTATTAGCTCAAAATTACTGATCAAAGCGTGGATGGTCTAAAAGGCAGCCTAAATGTCGATTTGTATAGCACTTTCCTTTATTTCTAATTCGATCGCATTATGGATAAATACTTCATGTGTCATTTCTTCCACTTTGTTCCAAGAATACAGGTGCTGATTTTGTTCATTGTGAATGAGTGGTCATACAAGTCGACGAACAAAAAGCGTGAGCCTTTTACTACATTCCAGTCAGGCATTCAGGACTGGAAAGAATTTTTTAAACCGAGCCTTCAAAGCGATAAAAGTTTCCGATCAGAAAAAGTAAGAACAAAAGTATTCCATACACATTGAATACGTGTGACATACCAAAGTTTTACAGGATTTCAAGGCAGAAGACAAGAGCATATCCAAATTTGAGTAGCAGTATCTTGAGATAACGTTGAAAGTGAGACGTGATAGCTTCAGTAAGGCTTTTGCAGATCCAAAAACCTTTACACAGTTCATTCAACTATTCAGTTACAACCGTAGAAGGTGACTGTGTCTACTGACGGCTTCGTCGACTCGAGGCCTCTCAGACAACATACTTCTTGTCTATATTTGCTTGTCGATCGTATTTGGTTTCAGCACTGTCGTATGGTTCGATTTTCGTCCTCGATTCTGGCGTTGCACACCAGGAACGCGTACTTTGAATGATGTTTGACGTTGAAAGTGATGTAGACTTCGTCCACGATGCTGGTTCGCTACTAGCCAGAAACATAAAGGGAACATTGGAGAGAACGATGAATACGCTCGCACCAAGAAAGAGAGTCGTCCACTGAATTCCTAATATTAGTAGAAAAAACGGTGGCATTTATTTTTGCATACAAGGCCATTTTCGATATGTTCGCTATTACTAACTTATGTTCTCCACACAAACATTAACAATGTGAACCTGATAAAATGGAAGTACAAGCACTTGCGTTTCGTACTTTTTTATTGCTCTCACTTATCACCCACCTCATCCATCGTATTTTGAGGACAGACGACTGCGACGACACCCGGCAGTACGAACGAGACTACGCAACCGATGATGGTCACGCATACCAGCACGAAATGTACGTGTTGTCGTGCGACCTAAAGAAATTGGAACGAAACGAACGACTGGAAAAATTCACTCCATGTCTCTGTCGTTTCACCATTTTAAAGGTCTTATGAGGGACGGGAAACAGTGTAGCGTTCGAAGTTGATCAACCCTGTTGGGTGGATGATGGATGCACCATGCATTCGGCTTCATCAATCATCGCAGAGTTGATCGAATGCACATTTTCTTTGTGCAATAACTTATGGTGAGCTGCCGATGTATCAAGCCAAGTTTCTTTTGTGGAGTTACCTCTAACTAACTACCCTACTAACCTTATGTTGACTTATCAACGATCACCAATCTTGTAGTAATAAGAAAAACTTGGTGAATCGTTTCGGACAACCGATCCGACGACCAAAATCCATTGTGAATGCTGAGAATCTCAAATCTTATCCTTTCACACACTATTTAAGTTCTATTATCATCTTGAAATCCGTCTTAGTTGAAACCGCGCTTACTTAGCCTTTATTTGTGCACCATTTCGATGTAGAATGAATAGCACCATTTTCCTCTCCGTTTCTATCCACTTTAGTGCTTGTGTTAGTTTCCAACACTTTCATTCCCTCTGTTGTCTTAGCTTCATTTGGTCTGTCGCCGATTACAGCTTCTACGCAGCAAACGACCCCACTGAGAAGAAACCTAAAAGGATAGATAAGGTCCGTTGGATCTTTTCACACTAACGTTGCTCTGGTCTTCACTGTTTTACAATAAAGTGCATTTCTTTTTAAAATGCACGGCTCCCACATATGAAAGCAGAGAGCTTAATCATTGAAGGTTCGCCTGGTCTACCACACAGTTGCCCGGAAGTTGAGGAGAATGCTCCGCGGAATGTAATTTCTGGTGAACGACCAGAGCACTAACACATAAATGCCAGGATGCAGACTACAGTACATGTAAATTCGGCCAGACACAGACGCGCCCATAAACACTGACACACAGCAACCACGTATATCCTCTAATTCAGGACCAACTCCTCCGGACTGCGGATTTCCCCCGGAAACCAGCTCGCAAAACAGTTAGAGGCTTATGGTTCCACTGTATGCGCTATGTCCCATAAAAATTCATCTACACTGGTTACAGTTAACTTGCACACTTTCCATCGATCCATCATTGACATATAATGTGGTTTTGGAAAAGACCGACCTGTCATTAATAGAACATAAGAATAAAGGATTTTTGGTGGAAGACTCGCAGGTCTTAATAACTTCTCTATTTGAATAATCGAAAAACTGTGCAAAATCAAAGGCAAAAATACCATTTGTGCACATTTCATCGACCCAACAATGTTCAAGCCGTTGAATGCGCACGCTCCACTGTATGCGATCTGAGCGGGCAGCATACCCGGCTTCTGAAATATCGAACACGTCCCTTCGACGGTTTCTCATTAAAAAACGCTAACCGAAATCATGAAGACTAGCTTCTGAAGAATCCGAAAAATTAAATTATTATACGCTATAAAATTAATCAACATAAATTAAAAATTAAAATACAAATTTAATAAATATAACTTCAATGATGCTGAGATATTTGCAAAACTCCGAACCGCAGGTGTTTGCGGTAGGGAACGAACACTCTATTGACCTTTTCGGGGAGTAACGCATTCACCACAACACTATGCGGGTCCTTCGTTTCGCCCGTCTCTGTCTAAATTCGTGGTGTGGTGGTGAACGCGTTACTCCCCGAAAAGGACAATAGCGCGTTCGTTCACCACCGCAGACATCTGCGGTCCGGAGTTTGGCAAATATCTCAGCGTTATAGTAGTTATATCCCAGCAACATTGAAGTTACATTTCGCGATATACTCTGCCATTAAAAAGATTGGGTAGTAAATAAAACGGTTAAGACTAATAAATATATTTTAAATAAATTATGAAGTTCACGTTATGAAACGACTTTTTTTTCACACCCTTTATCTTCTAAGAAATGCAGAGAATTGTAATTCTTCGTATTTTTGTTGAGCAAACGCGAGGTGTTATTATTCGTTGTTCACAAATGAGCTGACGTTTCGGCGGATTTCGCCTTCCTCAGAGCCTGGAAAGGTCAAGTTGATAGCAATCTACTCGGCCAGACGCCTCCATAACCAAACAAAGAAACTCTAAACCAAGATTTCAATCACTTTGAACACAGTTTTGCAAACTCACCGCTTCCTATGAGGTTTCCACTAAGTATATCACGTAGAGACTAACCGCGCAGAAATCACATGGATGCATAATGTGACACAATAATTTTGATTGCGGTTTTGACAGCATAATTTTGACACATTATGCTTCCATGTGATTTCCGTGCGGTTGGTCTCTACGTGACATACTTAGTGCAAACCTCACAGAAAGCGGTGAGTGTGCAAAGCTGTGTTCAAAGTGATTGAAATCTTGGTTTAGAGTTTCTTTGTTTGGTTATGGAGGTGTCTGGCCGAATAGATTGCTATCAACTTGACCTTTCCAGGCTCTTAGGAAGGCGAAATCCGCTGAAACGTCAGCTTATTCGTGAACAAAGAATAATAACACCTCGCGTTTGCTCAACAAAAATACGAAGAATTACTTGATCAATGCCGAGGTTAATAGAAAGTCGGTCGTGCAGAGAATTGTATTATTTGCTTACCTGAGAAATTACGAAAAAGCAGAACCCCATGACACCTTGAGACAAAGAGGAAAACATGATCAGTCGATTTTTTTCAGATATGAATGTTGAGATGTCGAATAGTGGCCCTGCGACGAACTTCAGTGCTACCGCCAGCGCGTAGGGCAAAGCAGTTGCAAACCCAGTGTCAGCGACATCGATACCCATAGCCTGAGCAACAGAGACAGCTGGAAGTGAAACTAAAACGGCATCTGACGTAACGACTGTGTCATTACGTCATTCTAAGATCGCTAGCAACAGCATTGAGCACTCACTTGAAAACATTCAGAACTGTGAAATATCCTTCAAACTGCAAAAAATCTACAAAACGGTAAATACCATAGATTAGTGTGGGTTGCCTATAGCGCACTGGTTAGAGGTGGACCTAACAGAACTCAGCGTAAGTTCGATTGCACACCCGGTGTCCTCCAACCCTTTCATCATTCTGGGATTGGTGAATTGGCACCGGACTTATCTGGAAGCGTGGCATCACTGATTTCACATTTTGGTAGGCCAATGCAAGTCATTGCATAGGGCAGATAGGCATTCAATATGCTATAACTATGCCTAATTAAGTCGAACGTATGCAGCATGGTTCAGACTTAGTTTCATCGATTTATATTTGTAGATTAGCACGGCAGGTGTGTGGTTCATTTAGTAGTGGTGCCCTGCAACACACACATTATCGTTGATTTGATCCTCTATCTCAAGCGAACCTATTTCTTCACCTTTTCTGGCTCGTCAAACTGGTACCTTGTCTGAGGTGAGCTTTTCCCGCTAACAAAGGTCAGTAACTTGAAAACTTTGGAGCGCTCCCGTGCAGCCACCCCGCTTCCAGGTCGAGTCAATATGATTATGATCGTTTAATGATATTCATGAAAAGGACAAAATCGGTAACAGTTATACCTACATGCAAATTTCAAGACTTTCCCTGATGATGTCTGCGAGGGAGTGAATCGAGCGAAAGAGCACTGTGTATACTTTTACGTGCTGCCTAGTTCTTTTTCATGGCAGATGGTTATGTGAATTAAAAACAAAAAGATGCTGAGATATGATGGAAACTCGGAACCCATATGCTTTGAACCAGCGAGTATCCTTTCCGGGGCTCACGTGTTATCCACAGCATCAACTCAGGGCCTTGAATCGCTTTAAGCAAATTTTTTTAATGAAAAAAGTAGTCGGAACCGCAGATTGTCAGTTGAAGATTTATATAAGCAAAAAAATAGTAAAGCCTAAATGATATTTTATAGAACAAGCTCGAATGCAACTCTTACCTTGTTCATAAAGGTCGGTCCAAAGTGTAAAAAGATGAAGAACCCAGTATTGCCGCCTAAGGATGAAAGTATGACAGATTGAATACATGGGTCTTTACAGATCTCTTTATAAGGCACCGGTCCTCGTACCACCTGCCCCTCCTTGCCAGTCGAAATCGCTTTCAATTCTCTTGCACTCACAAACCTTTAAAAGAGAGAACATCGAGAGGTATGAGAACATTTTCCCATTTTTAAAAAGTTTTTAGCACAAGGTTGTGTTCAGCTAAGTATTAATAAATCATAAAAAAAGTAAATTCTCGAACTAAAAGAAAACGAGGTTTCCTGAATTTTGTTCAAACGTACACTTGTCAAACATTATATAGAAAGATTCCTACTGATTTATGAACTCATTTTCCTAGCTATTTTACTAAGCTCTCACCATACTAGTGAAGAGGATATATATGTTTCTTGCTCATTGTGCCATAACGTCGTTCACATTGTAGACGCCTTTCGGTTTACTCTCAGTGTACCTTCTTAATCCTTCTTAATCCTATAATATTTGCGTGCATCTATCACGTTGTTACTTACAGCGTTTACATGGCCTTGTTACGTTGTTGTTTTACTAATATTGCTTATGTAAACGATTAATAACGGGAGCGGTAGTGATTTCCGTTATCTCGAGCATGGTGCTAGTTCGGTTCCGCTGCGAGCCAACCAAGCCTCTCTTTCCTCCGGGGTCAGGAAATTGGTGCCGGCCTTGTCTGGGAAAAATCACTGCAATCCATTTGAGAACGTTCCAGCTCAACTATCTCAGGACTCCAGGGAGAATTGGCCGACCAACATTCTACGACATTCAAGATGAAATAAAATCCCTCAAGCAGCAACCGAGGCCACACGTAATAGTTGGAAGGTCTTCGTGGATAATGGACGCGAGAAAACAAATTGAAAGTGAGAAGTGCTGGGATCCACGGTAGAAGTGAAAACAGTTCATATAAAATAAAAAAACGCTTAATCATCCAAATTTGAGGTCTGGTGGCACGATAGCTCAGTAAGAAAGAATTCTATCCATCCTTCATTCAATGCTACTTTTAGCTCTATATGACAATAACCGATGAAAACAGACAAATTAATTCCCAAAGATCGTCACTATGTTTGTCGACCAAACCACTTAGAGCTGAAGTGGCTGGTCAAGTCAAAGGCCGTAGTTAGTATATGCAAAAGAGATTCGTGCAATTATAGGTAACTATTAACGTTAAGTAATATGAACTGGATTTGTGGGTTGGAAAAAAATTTCCAACATTTTTCCAATACAACGCTTTGTAAACTCTTCTTGGCTTCAAAGGCTTCCATATATAGGCGGCACCTTGAATGCTGACTGGTCTTTTGCTAGCTATTCAGTTGGTGGTAGCTAGCATAATGCCGACTGCTTCAGGATGGATTGTCCGTTGAAAAACAAATTATTATCAACGGACAATCATTATCAAAAACACCGTCCTATTAAAAGAGTACCGCCGAGTGAGTTTGCCTAACTCGAGCGGTGTTCCATGGAAGAAGATTCATCTTGGTACGCCGACGAAGACACCAGATCGAGAGGATGAAAGACTATGGAACATCAACTCAGATCATTTGTTCTGAGGAAGAAGAAGACGTCGAACCGTTGGCTGAATTAAAATTTTTATTAATCTCGTCTTACCCTAATAATCTAAGAAAAAACTGATTGATCTATTTTTTGACAGAGGAGCTTATGATAAGAAATACGCGTTTGTGTGAAGGAAATGCAATACGTAAGGACGAAGAACATACCGGTGTTTCTTAGGATCTTCTCTGTACAGGAGAAAGAATAGCGCCGTCGACAGCACCCCAAACATTCCGAACGAGTAGTACAGTGATCTCCATGAAAATGACCCGCAGAACGCACCAGCCAGTGGCATAGTAAGGACGGCTGCCAGCTGAATTAATTACTGGACAACGCCTTAAATAAGTTTCGATAAAACGTTCTTGCAACTAAAAGTGTTCAGCATCTCTAAAAACGAAGAGCTATTGATCCTTACCATGAATAAACAATTTCTGTCCAGTGCAGGCACATTTTTGCAAGGTATATTGAGAAAATCGACGAATGAATACCTTCTGATGGTGTTGAAATTGAGTCAAAATAGCCTACTTTAGCGAGGCAAATCGATGGAAAGCGATTCATCTTCATTTATATCCACAGTAAGGATCTTGCTAATGTAGCAATTCCGCTCTCTCAGTGAGCACTATATAAGTGCACCCAGTGACCGACCAACTCTTTACTCGTAATTCAATGTTTTCTTGATGAGCAGACCCAAGTTGCCACTATATTATTTATTCACACGAGCTGATTGATCAGTGGTTTCGACTTCTCGAAAGCCTCGGAAGGCCGAATTGTTCCGGAATAAACACCTTCATAACCTGAATAAAGGAAGCCTGCATGCTGAACTTCAATCGCATGGGAAACAATTCCTTTGAAGCCGTCACCGTTTTTTTTATAAGCATTCCACTTAATTCATGGGAAACCGCTAATTGGTGAAGAGCAGCCGCACGGCGTAATACATGGGCGAGGAATATGCCTGGCTCAGGTCAAAAAATTAGTCCCGCGCGGTCACACTAGACCACCTCTCTGCGGTTCATTTTTGGATTTTTGGAATTTATCCGAAATTCTCCAAAAGTTTCATACACTGGTTTTTCAAATTATCCATGTTAGGATAATGACTTTCGCTTTACAATCTTCGCCGTTGCCTTTTTGTGGCCTTTGCATGCCTATTAGTGTTTTGTTAGGCTTTAAGTACCAAGTTACTACATGCTCTTTCAAACGCATTTAGAGTGGCCTAGTCTCTTCGCCAACGTATTTGGTTCCACTTTCTCTAAAAAGAAGAATCGGGAACACCGTACCCGAACTTGTGCACTCTCCATCTCTACTGTTAAGGCAAATTATGCAGTTTTGTGCCATACACAGACGGTCATAAAAGCGGTTGCGAACCAACAGACTTCTCAGAGTGTTCGATAGCACTTTACTCACCACTACTGATTTACTACTACTGCCTACTACTGAAAGCGGCTCTCTTAGGCAACGTTTTGTGACTGCGATTACTTCTTCAGAAATAAATGGCAGGCTAGATGAAACCATATTATCTCTAGACTTATCATTTGTGGGCTTTGCTCTTCCTCTAAACCTATTCGTTTCAAGAAGCTACCGTTTGGTGGCCATTGCTTTCGCACCAACATTGAGTTTTTGAATCGGGATGCTTTTGTTACTTAGCTTTCGATAGCACTTGATGATGTGTTATGGCCGTTGTAGTCTATGAGCCATTTCTAGCAAAACCATGGAAACAAGTTACATTGAAGAATATGTGAGGCTATTAGGAGTCGCATACAACAAATAAGCTCCATGCCCACTCTGGTAGTGACTGGTTAGTCATCTGCAATTATTCTCAGCATCACCGCCCAGAGATCAGCAAGCTATAGGTGGGTATTAAAAAACTGAACACGGTAAAATAAACGGGCGGCGTCCCACAGGTGTCGTCCCTTGACTCCAAAAGAGAATCCGATACGGCAATACTGGGTAAGACGAGTAAGAAAAGGCTGCTAATATATCAGGGCCATTCCAGGCTGCCTAAATCGCAAATGACTACAATGACGATCTGCACTTTCAATACACGCACACTTGAATCTGAGTCCACGATGGAGGACTTGATCATAAAGGCAAGAAGTAAGACGTCACCTAACTTGATGAGACGAGAAGACGCTTCCCATTCAACGCTGCCTGGGGCACCGGAGAAAAGCTGTTTCTGGGAACATGCGGCAGCAGGGAGTAGGTGGTATAGGCATTCTTGTCAACACGAGTTCGGCCATGGACATCGATTCATTCGATCAACTGACAACCCGAATCGGACATTAGCGGTTGGAGAGATGTGGGTCAATGTTGGCTTTGACAATCTTCGACGTCGACGTACCGAACCGACGTGAGGCTACTTTATAACGTGACAGAAAAAAATAGAAGATTTACTGGCGGCTGCTCCAGTCACTCGACAAGCAACCGGAAGATATGTGACACGTGATAGGTGCCTGTTAGTTTAGCGGTTCAAAACACTTGTCCATCTCTTTTTATTTGCAGATGGTAAAACAGTCGTCGATACATCTTCAGCAGCATCTCCTTAGTATATTGCATACCCTAATCTACGTATATATTTAGTTGTATTTTTACGATGTATCGCCCCTTTTTTGCGTCATTATGCTTAATGGTTCTGTTAGTCCTTCTCATTTCATGTAATTGTAACTGCATCTTTCTTCTATAATACCAGCAAATATTGGTCGGGTTGGTGATGGTTGCATTTGTACATTTAACTTATTATGACGCTACTATTGTTGTAATGTTCAGAAACGCTCAATTACCCGATCTTGAGGACAAGAGGAACAATGAATTGGAAAGACCCGGTGACAGAACTAACCATAAACGGCTTCACACCAGAACACATTTACTAAATTTTAAGAGAACTACGGACAATTTTCACATTTTAACTACCCAATCTTTTCTTTTTATCTTGATTTGTTGATAAATACAGAGAAGAAATGTATGCAGTGTTACTACACTCATAACTCGGCCAATTATGTTTGAAAAGGATTAAAATGCAAATATCTCCAACTAGAAAAACTTCTTGAGTGAACAATCCAAAGACTGCAATTTGATTCGCTCAGCGAAATTCACTCGACTTCCACAAATCATCAAATATACATGATCCACTCCATTTCCACTCTCGTCGTTGTTTACAAAAGGTAGGAACAAAGCTAACTTGTGGACTGCAAGAAAGGATAGCGATGTAGGTTCCGGACTCTCTGTGAACCGACCAATGTGATGTGATTGCACCGACGCTCACAAACACGATCCCCATTGAGAAGCCCTAGAAAACTTGCGAAGTCGAATATAATATTGGACCTCAACACAGTTCAATCATTAAATTTCTTCAAATTCATTTCGAAGCAAAGACTGACAACACACAACAATTAGCTAAAGCTTTTTTTTGTTCGAAATTGGTCAGGTTTTGAGTCCAACCGTTCACTTCTTCAACAAGCAAGTTTTCAGCAAACAGCATCTTCAACAACTGTAGTACCCATACATGAGATTACCAAGTTTTCTTAAAATTATTAACTTTTGCGAAAAAGATGAAAGTGCATTTCTGCTTCAAAAATCACCAGTTACGTGTGAAAATACGACGAATAGTTAACATGGAAAAAAAATATAAAGTGCTAAAGGATCATGATCATGAAGAAGTTGGCACCTGCAAGATCCTCATGGCTGTAAGGAAACCATGCCCAAGATCGACAGCTATTGGAATCGCTAGTGTTGCAAAAGCTGTCAAGATTCCATAAAGTGAGAAGGTGTACCTGTAAAGACAAGTAACTTTACAACTTAAAACACACATGGAAAATACTCACATGTTTGAGTTATTCTACCTCAATCCGATTGCGCGCAAAGCTGGAACAACAGGAAGAGTTCCCAGCAGTTGTCCTATTGCAACAACAGAAAACAGCAAGTTCTTTTTTGTGGGATCGTTTAACCAGTGACCTTAAGTGAAAACTTGACGTGACATACATTTAATTCAGCAGTGATTGCCCAAAAAACCTATGACACGCCAATATTAGCCAAAAAATGATGTGGATTGGTCGCTTAATTTTTCAAAATTTGTTAAAGTCTTTTAGATCTAATATTTGGACGAGAAACTTTTTCAAACCTCCCAACGGCTTACCGCTCCATCTTGGCTGGGAGGTGTTCCTGGGCGTCGGACTACGATATACAGTGGGAGATGTATCCCCTGCCAGGGTCTCCCAAGCTGAGTAGTCCGGAGTTTCCATCAGCAAGCCTAGCTAAGAGTAAACCAATATCAGGATCTCCTGCTATCAAACTAACCGCGTGGTGACAAATCTCTCTTTGATCTAAAAGGGCTGCGACTGAATGTGCTAGTGACGACCTGGAGCAGACTTTGGCCGGACTGACTTTGGGACTCCAGGGAACCACAATGGCTTAACCAGCAAATCTCCGAAAAATGATGTTCCAACGTGGATTGGAGGAAAGCGGTGGGAAGGGTCGAACAAGTACTTCGCTTTCTGATAGAATACCTCACTAACCACTGCGCAATTCCTCCTTAATTATTGGCTTACTTAGATACTTGGATGGCCCATCCCCACTAGTTGTGTTGGTTCAAGCATAATTATCGCTTTTTTGGAGTTCTGCTAGTTTAGCCACTGTGGTTCCTTGGAGTCCTTAGTCTAGCCTAGCCAAAATTTGCCCCAGGTCGCCACAACCACAAGCAATCGCCGTCATTGTGGGTCAGAGGGAGATTTGCTACCATGCGACCAGTTTGGTACCAGGAGGGTAGTGGATCTTGATGGTCGTTTATTTCAAGCTGAGCTTCCTGGTGGAAACGCTGCACTCCTTCTGAGCATGGAGGCCCTGCTGTGAGGATGAATCCCCTCGCCGTAGATCATAGCCCAACACCCAGGAATACCTCCCAGCCACGATGAGGTTGTAAACCGTTGGAGGCCTAATTAATTAGTTTCAGGGAATTTATGCGCCGATATTTCTCCCTCTACAACGTAGTTATATACATAAAAATTCTTAAAATGAATTTTTTTCTTTTCATAAATTTCATTTTAAGAATTTTTAACTATTCGCAGTAGCATGGCGTTCGAAAAAAGCTGCTGCTGGAGCACATCTAAGAAAAAAGGTGCAAATCCGTCTTCACCTTCAGCACATTATCTTAGGTTATGCGTTTCCCTTGTCTAGGCCTTCAAGAATGGTGAAATTCCACTTTTCCTATCACACCACACAACTTCTTTACAACAAACCACTCACTACTTTTCTATAGTACCACCTTTCTACCATCTATCATTTATTAGCTATTTACTAAAAGCTCGCAACAAGTTCTATTCAACATATGCATCCTCTATCACCTGTATCATCTGTAGTCCCGCTGATGGTCGAGTGACTCTAGCCGGCGCCAGTAAATCTTCCGTTTTCAGTTGTCGTATGCAAGAGCAGCCCAGTGGATTCTGCTCGCTCTAGGAACTCGTCGAGCATCATATCTTTCTTCTAGGTTTTTCGTGAAGAACTCTGACCATTGGGTCGGTGGTCTCCCTGCAGTACGTTTGACACCCCGAAGAATCCAATCACAAACGGCTCTTGTCCATCGGTTGTCATTCATACGCACTACGTGTCCGGTTCGCCTTATCTTCGACTGTTTGGCGTACAGAATGACATCTTTGATTTTTGGTCGTTGACGCAGGTCGGAGCTTCGGATCTCATCCCTTACATATGTGAAACGGGGTACTCTTAGCATCGTCCTTTCGACTGCGCGTTCGATAACGCTGTATAATTCATCCCGTTTTCGCTGCGACCAGGTTTTTGACGCGTACGTTAGGGCAGGAAGTACCGTTGAGTCGAAAAGGTGGGCACGGAGTTGGGTGTTCTTCGTTTTCTTCACTACATCCTCGATGCTCTTGAATGCTCCCCAAGTCGCTCTTTTCGTTCTGCTCAACTCTGCAGCTAAGTCGTTCAACTTGTTGATTTCAAGACCTAGATAGACATAACTGGAGCATTCGGAGATATCCGTTCCGTTGAGCGTGAGTGGATCATACATACACATCTTAGGCTTTCTAAACACGAAGTTTAGATCGCATCTTCATTAACACTTAGTTCTCGAAAAGGAAGGAAACTGAAGCTTGAAATACCAGCAACTAAAGACTGTTGGAAGAAGACTTGTCTTGGTATAAGCACAGAAGCTATGAAAGAGAGGTCAAAAAAACCATTACCAAAAATCACTGAAGGGCATATGCGATTTTTTGCTATCAGCAGTGACGAACCTACAGGGATCATTATCAGATGTCGCCATGATATAGGATTAATTACAGAAAAGCTTTACATCGATATATCTACTTCTCACCACTCAAATAGCATCTCACTTTCAAGAAGAAAAAGTTCCTGAGCCTTTAAGAATGTCTAACATGATCATCACTACCGTAACCGAAGGAATCTGAGTGACTATCGTCCAATACGCTTGTTGCGACTACTTTGTGAGAAGTTCGTGAAGATTATCCTACAACGATTACCAAGGACTTTGGATGAAGTCCAGTCGTTTGTCGTTTAACCAAGCAGGATTCCGACAACGATTCTGCATTATGCCCAAATCCAAATCGTGTCCAATTTACTCAGTTTTGGTTTATTGTCAGGAAACCCATACACGTTGATGTTTTTCGACTGCGAAAAAGCGTTTGAGGGAATCATGACGAAAGTAAATCTGTCAGCACTTGTAGATTGAGGGTGGACCTGTCTTACACAAGAACCCAAGCTGACTGTTATCGAAACGGCACCACGAAAATACGGCTTTTTCTTCGACCTCTTACGTTCCCACAAAAAAGGTCCGACACGGCAGCACTTTCCCGTTAATAAGATTGTATTCATTTTTACGCTACCAAACGTTTCTTCGCAGTCGATAAAGGTTAGGACAAAGAGTATGTGGTAGTTCGGACAGATTTATATGACCCGTACTTGTTCTGTAATCCTCATTCTCGATTATTTTCTCCTCACCTCAAGTCCATGGTATGCGTACTGAGATACGATAACCTTGGTGAGATATCATGAGATTATGACAGATTCGTAGAGACAACGTCCGCTACAAAATAACGAATATTCTCTATCACTTCTCAATCAAATTAACATAAACTTTACGTGCGAGGGCGCATGTGGCGCAGACGAAAGCGCACTGCAACACGCACATGGGATCGATAGCTGAGCCCCGAGCCCAAGGCTCACCAAGTCCTCCATCCTTCCGGGGTTGGAAAATCGGTACCAGATTTGCTTGGAAGGGTATCAGCACTGGTTCGATACATCAGTAGGCCACTAAGATTCATTGTAAAGGCCTGATATTCATTCAGTCACGTCCAACAATGATTAGTGAAATCAAATGCTATATATATGAAGTTTCCGGTATGGAATTTATCTGATGCTCCTTTTTCGCATTAACTCCTGCTCTCTCTAAACCGCTTCACCCATTATGGAAGAAACATAAGCATCGTCATCAACCATCTTTCAATTCGCTCGAGTACCGCTCTTACAGTCTCCATATTTTCACCTTCCCATTTCACGAAGAATTCTAGTGTTGAGCTGTCATTAATATAAGAATTCCCAACCCTAGTTACACGTTTTTTGTCTCACCTTAACCGCCAATGCTTTAGCTGTTCCCTGTCCTTTACTATGCTTTTTAACATCGCTGTTTTGTTAATGTTGAAGTCGGCCACTTTTTATTATCCAAGTTTGAGGTGAATTTCGTGAATCTAATAATCGCAACACCGGCGTGGCAAACATAGAGCGAACACGGTCAAAGGCAAACAAGTAGTCTATCATCGTTCGGCACTTCATCCAAAGGAGAATATCAATTTCCACAGTTTCCATTGAGAGCTCTAACTAATGGATTCACATAATCGTTCTCTTGGTAACGTTCTTCGCCAATTTCTCCTCAACTAAACAGGTACCATTGTTAGCCTTTATAGCATTCGATGGGGTCGCGTGTGGCGCAGTGGTTGGAGGCGCCGCTGCAACACACGTGGAATCGATCCCTGTGCCCATGGCCCACTATGCTTTCCATCCCATCAGGATCGGCAAATTGGTATCAGGCTTGTCTGGGAGGATAGCAATACTGGCTCGATACATCGGTAGGCCACCGCGGGTCATTGTAAAGGCTAGATATGCATTCGATCACCTCCAACGATGCTTAATGAAGCCGAATGTACGGCACATCCCTCATGAATTGATCACCGCCGAGAGCTTTATCGTTTATCATTTACAGCATTCGCATGCCGACTGTGTTGAATTTTATGCCAACTTCTGTGCTTCATTGCCTGAAATTCTGCTGCAAAAAGTCTAATGCAGAAGAAGGGCGTGTTCAGATGACAAATGGTATTTTTGAACCACATGGACGTCGGAGAGACATGACCGTGCAGTCAAAAAATATAACTAATGTTAGAATATAATCGATAAAGTCGCTCCTCGTTTGTTGGGTTGTTCTCGTGAGAAAAAATGAGCTCCTTAGGGAACTACGATTTATTACAGTGATCATCGTGTTAACCAAAAAACCCAGTGAACCTCTTTAGTTGCATGTTTCATTCTAGTCGTTCCTCATTCTGAACTCTATTTGGCCTGATATTAAATAATCACAAAAATGCTAAGATATGAGCGATTTAAAAGCCAGCTGGACATCGAACTCGTGACTGAGCTTTCCGAGGACTAGTGTGCTATTCACTATACCAACTGTAGCGCCTACGTTACACATCTCTCAGTCAGTTCTTTATGCTAACGATGACATCAACATTCATCCGTCAAAGGAAATAAAAAAAAATAAAAAAATCTTTTAAAAAACTAAAGAAAAAGCAAGGAAAAAATGAAAAAATTGGTTGAGAAGCAAGCAAAGTAAGGATCTCGGCTGATCCGCGCGGATAGCACGTTAGCCCTGGTAAGGCTAATTACGGCTTCGAAGCACAGCTGAATTTTCGAGTATTGCTCACATCTTAGCACTCGCGTGGTTGCATTTCACCCCAT